ATTTCACAGAGATTATGCACAGAAGACAGGAAGCTTACACATAGTGGTTTCCTTTGACCTGTTCTTGAATTAATAGATGCCCTGATGGATTCTGTCCAGAGAGGATAATTAATCTCCTTCAGTGATTAACCCTTTATAAGTCCCAATGGAGCTACATCATTAAAGTAGTTCTGATTGTCAAATTGAACAAGTAAATTATTTATTTACCAGCTCTGATAATAAAATTCACTTATTAAAAGCACACTCACAGTCATAATTTATGTGAAGTATTCTGCATAAACCTTTTTTTTTAATTTTTTTTACAGCAATCACAAATGTAATTTTATTGGAAATCTGTTTCTCAATTATTTGATATGTAACATATCTATATGATCAAGCCCAAATGTTACATTGTAGATTTCCATATTCTAACATTCCCTGTGGCCCGCATATACTACCGCTGTGATATAATAGCTTGTGCTCATAGATCAAACTGGCATGTTAAATCTAGTCTGGGTAGGGGGTTGATCAGGGACGAAACATTTGAAGGAGGCTTCATGTCGGAGTCTCTCCCTGGAGTCTTCAGTGCTGAACCAATGACAGATGTGTTGGAGGTAATTTACTTCAGGCAGTGCACAAAAATATAATTGCAAATCAGTTTCACAAAGAGCCATGCCTAGAAGCCTAATAACTAAGACTCAAAATTCAACATTGGTACTTCTTAAAAATCATATTATTATTAGTTCATTATTATTATTATTATTATTATTATTATTATAGCGCTAAACCACACATTGTTATAATATTGCCATAATGTAGGTGTCTGCAATATGTTTGTCACATTTGTTTTACTCAAATCTAAATCACATTTTAGGCAGCAATACTAACAGCTATTGCTGTCAACAGTCCTCAAGGTTGTGTAGATAATGAACTGGGTCTGTCCAAACACACACACACACACACACACACTGGATGTATTCTCTTATCAGTGTTTTGCACATGGTAGGCCAGGATATTCACTGTTCACTAAGGCATTTGTTCAGATTATTTCAATTGTATCTTGATGTTACACACGTTTCGTAAAATATAGTTATTTGCAATCTGTAAAACTGACAGCTGCTGAATATCTAATTTGTTCTTTTCTTTGTTACTTTTACTAATGTATAGGCCTGTAGACTGTTTCATAATGGCACTACAGAGGACAAATGACGGGAAAAGGATAATTTAGTATCAATACTGATTTAGTGCCAATACTGACTGTGGTGTCTCAAAGTGGGATGATACAGTCATCCTTTTTTTTTTTTTGCCATGTCACATTTCTGCAAGTACCTTTTTCATTAATTTGTATTTTAAATGGGTCTGTCATTTTGCTTCTGATAGTTTCTTACTTTCAGGCATTATGAATTCCCTGTCATTACAGGTTTTTAATTTCCTTTTATTTGACAAATCTATATCCCTGCTTTTCACAATGCTGTAAAAGCTTGAATGAAGTTATCTCCTTATTCTCTACTGTCTTTGTTGATGTTGAATGGACCAATACTGTTTCTATTAATATGTTAGTTGTTGCAGATGATCTTTGTTCTGTTCAATAGTATTCATTTTTTTCATGTATCGATTCATCATTTTTTATGAAGTCATTGTCATTTTGAAAGATTATGTACATTGTATGAATATAGACAGGGTGTGTTTATCTGAAGGTGACTCAGTTCTTTGCAATTTATTTATTTATTCATTCATTCATTCACTCATTCATTCATTCAAGGAATGACACATTTCCATACATATTGGGGGAGAGGAAGGCACTTCCAGTGAGCACTCGAACACATTTTGAGAGGCTCAGATTTCTGGTTAGTTGCTCACATTTTGTTATTTTTATAGGCAATTACCACACATTATGACAGTAGCTCAGGCAATGACAGCCAACCAGAACCATTCCAACCTTTTGTTTATTATTCAAGTTAGATTAACTAAGCACTTAGGGATGATGAATCCAAAAAAATTAACACGAACAGAAAACTATTTGATGTGTGAATGCTTAACAGAACGTAATCAATGCAGAACAGAAACCTTCAGCAAGCATTAACTTTCCAGAAATGTGTTGCACCATGGCATGTTACATGACAAAAAATATGGCTCATTTTTAAACCAGTAATTTAAAATATATATTGGCCCAGATTTTAATTGAGCAATTAACTTGTGTGCAGTGCTTGTCTGGTCATTTGGCACCACAGGGAAAATCAACCCCCTCCAGCAATGTTATTCCATAGTGCCGGTAGCTAGCATGAGAAGCACACAATAGCAGTAGCATGGCTTAAAACTTACCCACACTGGCCTAGCTAACATATTTGGCTGCTCTGTGTAGAAATGTACAGTTTCAAATGGCATTTTTAGTAAATTTAGTAAATCTTCAGTCATTGTTTTAGTAAACGTAACTTTGCAGTTGCTTGTTCAAAAGACCAGCACTGCTGCTCACCAGCATGTGATGTGTTTTTTTGGCTGATTCCCTGCATGATAATCTGGTGTTTTGGTTGGCCAGATTCTGCTATGGCCGTAAAAACCAACACTAGACCTATGTAACATCATAAAGAATGTGTAACTAGGTATGTGTAACCACTAATCCTTTAGTGTTGTTTAGTGTGCAGTACACTGTACATTCATTAAAAATGAATTCTGTTGCAACAACAAAAATTAAAACAACAAGCCCCAAGAAGCTGTGGTTTACAGTGAATTTAGAACAGTTAGGGAAGAAAAAAACACTTAACCACTTAAAACGGCTTGACTGGACGTATTGCTTTTATAAAACAGTTACCACACAATACATGTAGGGAAAATATATGTATTAATATGGTACTTTGGTACTTTTAAAAAAAAGTTAAATCATTAAATACAATCTTTCCACTAGATAAATGTGAGATTCCACAGTGACAACAGAATGTTCCTAGGTGTAATTCCTTATCTGATGGATAAAAACAGAAACTCTTGAGTATGTTAACCCTGAAATAAGGGAAACTCTGGGTTTCTTTCAGTCTTCTCCCCCTTTTTAAAGTGTAAGCGATGTTTAAATACCTCATTCATTCATTCACACTGCAAAAATGCTTTTCTTACTGAATATTTTGGAATCTAAATTAAGTGCATTTTACTTCAAACAAGAAAAATAATCGTAATACAAATTCAATTCAAGTTTATTTGTTTAGCGCTTTTCACGATACAAATCGTTGCAATGCAACTTTACAGCAAATTAAGTTTCTACAATATTTAGTGGTAGCTTATCAGTGATGACTGTCACCATTGATATTACACACTGTCAGTTAATCATCAGGGATGCAGAGCACATAAGGCTGCTGTATGCAGAGCGGTTAGGAAAGTGTGTCTCGCCCTCATGCTATTTCTTATAATATTTGTGTAGTTTCTTTGGCACAAACCCATGAAAAATTAAGCTGATTACTGTATGGAATGGAAGGGTAGTTTGAGATATATGTCGTAACTACCACCACAGCTATTACATTTATTTGGTCATCTTTATTTTCTACAAATACAAAAGCAACACTTATTCTTTTTCCTGTTGGATTTTAATATTCTTCCACTTGCTATTGTGGCCACTTGCATTTTTGTGAGCCTTCTTGCTGTTGGCTGAGTAGAAGTCAAATGTTAATTTCATTACTCTAATTAAGAAATGCAACAGTTTGGATTAGAGAACATTTAATTATGTGAAAAGAGACATAATTAAGACAAGATAAATTATGTGGAAAAAGCTGCTGCACATTGAAATAGACACTGAATGATATTTATTTAATATGTAAAATGTTTGGAAAGTCATGTAGCCTCATGAACCTTTTATGTTTAAAGCTTTACCTGATTGAATTATGTTTTTATACTTCAATTTCAGCTGCTTTTTTAAATAATTTTGTTGTTGTTGTTGTTTGCCTGTGGGATACCATGAAAATCAATATTAGTTCAATGACTTAGCGTGCCAGTTTTTACCTTTGCTATTATAACAGTGATTAAAATTAAAGTTACGTATTGACTCGGAAGTATGGGAAGTGTGGACGTCTTTTTGTCAGGTGCTGTTGTCATGGTGAATCATTTCGGAGCTTCATTGATCATGGCTTTACATGTTGCACATGCTAAACAAAAGCCCTATTCGCACGGGATTAGTATTATCTGGGGACCTTGTGTGATTTTGAAATTACCCCCCCCACATCTGAATTTCATGTGGTGCATTCGCACGGGATAAGCGAAGCCTGTGATTTTACTCGAATTTACTGACTTATCTCCTGGATATGATATCAAGGCTTTGAGAGTCCCCATATGGCCCGGTTAGATGGATTTAAAAAAAAAGAAACGGTAACACTTTATTTCGATAGTCCACTTTAGACATTCTATTAACAGTAAGTAACTTTGCAACTACATGTCAACTAGCAGTTAGTAGAGTATTAGTAGACTGTCTGCTTAACACTTAAGACTATCTTCTAACACTTTCTTTGTCAACTTATTCTACTAACCCTAAACCTACCCTAACAGTCTACTCTGAGAGTTAGTAGACATGTAGTTGCAAATTAATGAGAATTAGTTGACATGTAATTGACATGTAGTTACAAAGTTACTTATAGTTAATAGAATGTCTAAAGTGGACTATCGAAATAAAGTGTAACCAAAGAAACTAATATAGTTTCGTGCCCTGTGTCATTTACATTTCACTAGATTAAACACATTAACCTCAAAACATTTTCAGCTTTCTCTTTCTGCAAACTGTATGGTGTAGTGATATGACAGCACCCAAAATAATATCAAACACTCCAACGCAGCTCCATTCTTCGCGAAAGATGTATAAAAAGGTGCACAAGAAACAAAAACCTTGAAAAATTATATACGACCCGCCAAATGCTGGCCAAATCACAGAGATGCCGATTCGTATGGAACTAATATTATCACAGGACCTCGGTGTTCGGCGAAATATGGTAGGTCATTTGCGGGGGAATTTTTACTTTACAAATTACAGACATGGCCGTTTTGCACGGGATTAAGATCACAGACAACCTCCACAATTATTACAAATGACTGTAGGTCACCAGGTAATAATAATCCCATGTGAATAGGGCTTTAGAGTCAACGTACTCAGAGTTGAGTGAACTAACTCAATTTAGCTGTTCTGAACCCGAAAACTCAGAGTTTCCCATTTCAGGGTAAGTCAACTCAGAGTTCAAGTTTCAACTCAGTTACCTCCTTATTGAAACAGGCCCCATTTCTAAGTGCTATCTAATTGATGCATTTCTTCGGTAAAATACAGGTTTGTATAATGTTCATGAGCCTCTGAAAAGTGGCTGGGGCATTGCACAGGCCAAAGGGTAGAACACGGAACTGGTACAGCCCACGGTGAGAAACGAAAGCGGTCTTTGGCCTAGACGATTATTCCATGGCAACCTGCCAATAACCCCTGGCATTTACCTCAGAGAATGTGCACAAAAACAAATGCAACCTGAAATAAAGTCCGGGGGTTTTTTTGTTTGTTTTTTTCTCCAGTCTTCCAGAATCAGTGTTCCTTGTTGCAGGTGTCAGGCCACGTGAAGTGAGTGAAAAACGTGACTGCAACCAGTAATATATTATATCGTTACTTCAAAAATGTCCAATCCGGCAAAAACCAAAATAAATATCCATTTGTCCTTCAAAGAGAAAAAAACTATGTCAAATCTCCCAAGTGTCCCTTTCTTCTTTATGTTTTTTCAGTCAAAGTTTCGTAGCTATAGAATAACGAACCGTCTCTCCCATCGAAAGAAAAACAAAAATCTGTCCAACTAGATGAAACAACACAAAATTCACCTTCACTCTTTTGTCCTTGCACCTCCAATTGATCCCAAACGAGTCTTCAAAGAACAGCAGAAAATCCGCGGAACGCCATCACGTGTCCTTTTTTTTTTTCCCGGGATCCGCGCGGCCTACTCTCTAACCTGCCAGCGGTCTTTCCTGGATAAAGTTACCCCGCCGTACCACGAACACGTCCGTCGATAATCAATAGCCGCCAGGAGAGACGAGTAAAAGAGATAACTTTGGTAGATCCACCCTGTTCAGGCGCCACTTTGTAACACCGAGTTGAAATGTTAAACAGCCCAGATGGGAAACTGTGTGGGGCTAATAATGCACGGGAGACGAGAGGATGGCGTATTTTCCCGAGTTTAATAAAACACCTCAAGCACCGACACACTCATCCACATACATGGGGGAACGAGTGAGGAAAAAAAAGTACACAAGCATCCAACTCAGGTCACAAACAGAAAAGGAATAAAATAAAATAAAGATGTCGGTAGAGCAAGTTATCTCTTCACCTTTTCAACTCGTACAGCCACACGCTATGCACATGCGCAGATGTCAATCTGCCACAAAACTACCGTAAATGCTCTAGTGGCCGTTACAATGCGTGCAGTGTGAATCACGTTAACGAGTGTCGCGCCTGTCTTTTTGCATGATGGAAAAGCCTGATGTTTCGCATAAAATAAGCAATTTTATTCATAAAGATACAGAACATAAATACTGTACTTTGGATGCTAAAATATGTCCTCAGAGCTGTTTACTGTTTTATGGGCAGGTTATGGAGTCAGTCACGTTTTGGCTAGAATGAAATGCAGGTAGGCGGTCTTAGCCGTTAGCAGTTCCCCACCGAACACGATTCCTGCTCGGGCATGAGAACCAGTGCCATTATCGTGGAAACAGGATAACAGAGACTGGTCAATTACACGTATATTACTTCTGTTTAATGTTTAATTCTTACTTCTAATCTTTGTTAAACAAGTTTAAATATAGGCAATATGTATGCCCTATGTAGGCTATTAAAAACTATATAAACAATGCTGTAAATTATATAAATAAAGGAAAATAAAGGAAGTTATCATGCAAACCTGTGGTTGTGTGGAGTATTTTACACAATTCTAGAGAATTTAAAGGCAGGGTAGGTGATTTGGTTCAAAAACATTTTTTGTTATGCTGGTTGAAAGTCTCTTCACATCCCGATAGCAATCACTAAGCTAAGTGGTCTAAATGTATTTATATGTATTTATATTGACTGTTTGCGCAGACTGTCATTATCTAGTCCCTTCACTGACTCTTTCCTGCCATTCCCCTACGTTCTGTCACTGTCAGCTACACGTGGTGGTTTGTTTTGGTCCTGCCATTGTCTGCTGCACATGGTGGAGCAATCAACGCTAACTAGCTGCGCTGCACGCTTCATCAGCCCCGCACCTGTTACTCATTTCCCCTTCCTTATTTATTCCTGTCTTTGTCATGTCTTTGTGTCGGTATGTCTTATGAGTTCAAGTCTGCTCTAAACTTGCGTATGTGGAGATGTTCTCTCTCTCTTAAGCCATTTGCACTGTGCCCAGGATCCTTAGGCGAGGATGAATTAATCCGCTGGATAGCGAGACCGGATTGGGAGCGCTAGACTGAACGCTCTTCAGTCATTCTCCCAGCCTACAGTCCCAGTTGATGTGTGCAGTAGGAGCACGACACCACCTTATTCACCTTTTTCCCTGGAACATTGTGCTTTCTGTTTTTGTTCATTATCATCCGAAGATCATAATAAACTTCATTCTTCTGTTTGGCACAGCACTTGAGTTCTTCTGTTTTTTTTATACACAGCCTTGTGTGACAGAACATACCAATAATTTATGGACTCAGCAGGAGACCTAGAGATCTGCCAAGCTTTCCCTCAGCAGGGTATCCTCCTAGGACGCCAACAGGAGGAGATAACAGCGTCTCATCAGGCCTTGACCAGCCTGTCACAGCAACTCACCGCTATCTCCCAATGCCTCGACCAGATCCAGATCAATCCATCTGAGGTTCCCGCACCGGTTCTCCCTGACTTTCTCATTACAGCCATCCTGTTTCCCCACTGAGAAGTTCAAGGTAGTGTTTGTTATAATGCACCTGGCTGTAATCGCAAAAAAAGGGGGGCACAGTGATATGGGACAACGAACACGAGTGCTGCAGTTCATTCACTGATTTCTGCCAGGAACTACAGAAGGTATTTGACTGACCAGCTCAGGGTAATGAAGCAGCACGAGCACTCTCACTACTGCGAGAGGGAACCAGATCGGTGTCGGATTACGTCATCAAGTTCTGCATGCTCGCCGCGTCTAATGGCTGGAACAGCAAAGCATTGTGGGACCATTTCCTACATGGACTGGCTGAGCACGTGGAGGATGAGATTAACTCCCTGAATCTGCCTCTCTCTCTCGATTGGTTGGTCAAACTCACCACTCGGGTTGACTTCTGCATAGCGCTCAGGTCGCAACACCGCAGAATGGGAGTCAGGCACGAGAGCTTTGATCTCCTGCACACCGCAAGGGTCACAACGGCTTGGTTTCTCTGAAGAGGAACCTATGCAGATCGGCTGTGCTCATCTCACCTCCCGGGAACGGCGGCATCAGATCTCCCATGGTTTGTGTCTCTATTGCGGGGAGGCGGGGAACATTGTCACAGCCTTCCCCCACAAGAGGCAACCCCCCTCTAGAGGAAAGCACATTAAGCATGACTGCCGCTCTGCTGCCCTCTGGTGGCCGGACTACTCTCCCAGCCATTCTTCAGTCAGAGCGGGTCACCCATCCGGTGGCAGCTCTCATCGACTCCGGAGCGGAGGGGGACTTCATGGACATTGAACTGGCTAAACGCTGGGGAGTTCCTGTTCTTCCTCTAGCCTAATCTATCTCCACCAAAACACTTCGTGGAACTCCTCTCACCAAGATCACATCCATCACTGGACTTGTTCACCTGAACACATCCGGCAATCACACAGAGGAGATTTGATTCCTCCTCATTCTCTCTCCCTCCGCTCCAGTAGTTTTGGGGCACACCTGGCTTACTAAGCACAACCCTCTGATTGATTGGGCTCACCATACCTTAGTGGAGTGTTAATTTTGTTTGTCTCAATGTTTGGTGTCTGTAAATCCCCTGTAATGTCTATCTCTGTGTTACTGAAGGAGCAGGTGAACCAGACGAATGTTCTGGTGACTTACCATTACTTGAGAGTGGTGTTCAGTAAGTCCCGAGCTTCATCTCTCCCTCCGCACCGCCCGTATGATTGTGCAATAGATTTATTACCTGGCACTTCTCTACCTAAGGGGCGCCTTTATTCACTCTCCGGTCCTGAGAGGGAGACCATGAAGAAATATATCAATGAGTCTCTATTAGCCGGGTTCATACGTCCTTCTTCCTCTCCGGCTGGGGCAGGGTTTTTCTTCGTGGAGAAGAAAGATGGTTCGCTACGTCCCTGCATTCATTATTGGGGGCTGAATGACATTACGGTCACGAATAGTCATCCCTTGCCATTGATGTCTTCAGCTTTTGAACTCTTACAGAGGACAGCCATCTTTACAAAGTTAGACCTACGCAACGCTTATCACTTAGTTCGGATTAGGAAGGGGGACAAATGGAAGACCACCTTTAACACCCCTACAGGTCACTTTGAGTATTTGGTTATGCCTTTTGGACTTTCAAACTCCTCCGCGGTCTTCCAGGCACTCGTTAATGACATGCTCAGAGACATGGTCAACCAGTTTGTGTTTGTATACCTCGACGATATCCTTATCTTCTACCAGAACGATAGTGATCACGTCCAGCACGTCAGGCTAATGTTACAACGGCTTCTAGAGAATCACTTATTCGCCAGGCTGGAGAAGTGTGAGGTCCACACATCATCAGTTCCGTTCCTGTGGTTTATTTTGTTGCCGGAGAGCATTTGAATGGACCTTGCCAAAGTAGAAGTTGCTTTGACACAATCTGTATTGTTAAAAGCACTTTATAAATAAAGGTCACTTGACTTGACTAGAAGCGGTTGCTAATTGGCCCACCCCAGACAGCCGTAAAGTGGTTCAATTATTTGTGGGGTTTGCCAATTTTTACAGGCGGTTCATTTGAGGGTTTAGCCAAATCGCCCTGCCTCTGACTAATCTGGGAAGTGGAGTCCAGGGTCTGCGAGGCGTTACTATCCCCGCGGGATGCCCAGAGGGTCTGTTATTTGTACCTAAGTCGGTTCGAACCAGCATCCTTCAGTGGGGCCATTCTTATGCACTAGCTCGCCACCCAGGAGCGGCTCGGACACATTCGCAGATTAAGCAGCGGTTCTGGTGGCCATCGGTGGCGTGGGACACTCGGGAGTTCGTGTTGGCCGCTGCCTATCCCTTCGAGACCCTGGTCCTACATGCCAGGGACTTTGTCACAGGCCTACCCCCGTCTAGTGGCAATACCGTGGTCCTCATTGTGGTAGACAGATTCTCGAAGGCGGTTCATTTCATTCCACTCCCCAAACTACCTTCATCGAGGGAGACAGCGGTCATTGTCTTTGATCACATCTTCCGCACTCATGGCCTCCCGGTGGACGTGGTTTCTGACAGGGGTCCCAAATTTATATCTAGGTTTTGGACATAATTTTGTCGATTACTGGGGGTGACAGCGAGCCTATCCTCCGGTTACCATCCACAGACTAACGGTCAGTCTGAGTGGGCCAATCAGGACTTAGAGAGGGTCCTGCGTTGCGTGGCATCAGCAGAACCATTGACTTGGAGTTCCAAATTAGCCATGGTTGAGTACACACATAACTCCCTCCCGATCTTGTCTACGGGATTGTCACCCTTCCAGTGCTGTTTAGGCTACCAGCCCCCATTATTTCCCTCACAAGAATCCGATGACTTTGTTACATCGGCGGCGGACCATCATTGCTCTAAGCCCTCACTTTACGTTAGCGGTCAGAAGGTTTGGTTGTCTACCCAAGACATCCCTCTCAAGCTGCCCGCACGTAAACTGGGACCTAAATTCATAGTACCGTATGTCATGACCAAAGTGCTTAACCCAGTGACGGTTCGACTCAAATTACCCCCCATGCTTAAAAAAAATTACCCGGTATTCCATGTATCTAGAATCAAGCCCGTTATTCGCTCCTCTCTCCAACCCCAGCCTCCCAGACTCAATGAGGGGTTGCCCACCTACACAGTACGACAGCTCCTTGATGTGAGGCGGAGAGGTAGGGGTCACCAATATCTGGTAGACTGGGAGGGTTATGGTCCGGAGGAGAGATGCTGGATTCTGGCTCGTTTCGTGCTGGATCGCTCCTCTGTTCTGTTACTGTCAGCTACATGTGGTGGTTTGTTTTGGTCCTATCATTGTCTGCTGCACATTGTAGTGATATCAGATGTTAGATAGCCTAACACGGGGCACCACTAAATGCGGTGATTTTAGATTTAAGTAGCACCACCAGTGTAATGGCTTTGGGCTTAAATATTAATATTAATATTTAGTCTTGGTCATACTATTTTATGGGGCACCAGCCAAGGAATTGCACCTTGACAATAAAGAACAATCATGGAAGACTGTTGAATAAATAAGAATTAGAATTAAATTATAGGAAGTTGTAGTCTGACCAGTCTGAAGGATTTGTGAGATATCGTTAACTTGTAGAGCCTTTTTACTGTATTATCAACACAAGGAAGATTAACAAAGGGATAGACAAGAGTTTACTGTTACTATGGATGTTTACTTATGGAAAGATAAACTGAAGTTTCCTGGAGTTAACATCCATAGTAAGGTATTCTAGGATCAAAAACTAAATTGAGGTATTATTTTTTATTAACTGACATTAGTTATATAGAATCTAATGCAAATTAGATAATCATAAACTGACAATACACTAATGCCAATGGTCTCTGGAAAGAGGTTTGGAAAGAGTAATATTTACGTTCTGCCTGGTCATGTGCTGAGTCTGAGCAGCGTGCTGAGTCTGAGCGTCTTCCACTTGTCGTTGAAGTGGACGGAAAGGAGTTGAATCCGTTTCACAGTCTTGAACACAAAGCATTGGTGGATGATGAACTCCTGAGCACCGAGAAGGTTCTTTGGTCTGAAACACGCAAACCGGAACCTTGAAGGTTAAGGTTCTGAAGTCTATACAGAGGATCCGGACTACCTGGAACACGCAGGAGGGAGGATCATTGAAGTTGTTGCAGAAGATCCTGGCAGCTTGGAACTCGCAAGCAGAGGATCGATGAAGAGAAGATTCTGAAGTCGTTGTAGAAGATCCTGGCAGTTTGGAACTCGCAAATGGAGGACCGCTGAAGAGAAGATTCTGAAGTCGTTGCAGAAGATTGGGGGGCACTAAGCTTGTGGTTGTTGTTGCTGTGGCAGTTTCCAAACTCACTTCTTGCAGAACTTCCTTGATTCTCCGGCAGAGCAGCTTAGCTCTTGGCTTAGCAGTAGACCACACTACTTAGAAGCTAACTTAGCAACAACATCTTTAGCAACAGATTGACCACACCACTTAGCACACAGCATAACTTAGCACACTTCTTTGTCTTGGAGAGAACCTTTTATTCTTTCCCTGTGAAGGCAGGGTTTGCAAGTTGGCACCTTTCAGATCCAGCATTCTGACTGGATGATGCTGTCAGAGGTGGGCACTGAATGGCCTCTCTGATATGAGGTATATTTGCATAGCTTAAAGTCCACATTCAGAACAATGTATTTAAAGTTTTTCCTATGCATTATTCACTTTCCAAACCAATTCCAGATGAACCTACACATTGTGCTGAAAATATGAAGACCAAACATCAATGGGTAATGCTGAGCATTGACCCATGCATTCATATGTACAGTACATACCTTAATAGGTAATGTTGCATACCTTGATGTATCACACACAGCACTCATTAAGTATATACAGTTCTTTAAATTGATATGAGGAAGGTTCCTTTTTGTGTGAATGCATGTGAAAATGTAGTTTTCCTTTGTTGCTTTGGCCACATGGCAAACTGTGAGGGGGATTTATGATCATTCACACTATAGGGCCTTTCGCACCGCTTTAGTTCCAGAACTAAATGTACAGTACTAAAGTACTGGGACGAATTTGCGCGAACTATTTCCCAGTACTATTTAAAGGGTTGCATGAGTAGGAGCTAATTTGGTTCTCGAAAAAGGCAGTCCGGTACTAAAATCGCACCCAGTTCCGGCGGTGCGAAAATGCCAAAAAGTGGGTAGTTCCACAATTAGTTCTGGTACTATGAAAAGGTTCCCGCGGTGCGAAAGGCCCTTTTGATAAGAGTAAGGGAGAACAGAGCAGTTCCTGGGTGGGGGTTACAGAATGATAATGTTAACCCCCTTCTCCACAAGGTAAAACCGGTTTGGTCAGTCTGAGGTAGTGAGTGATTGTTCACACTTAGGACTCAAGAATGAAGAACTGCGATCAGTGAAAGACCCCATGGTGATTGGATCAGTCTTTGATCCATGAAATGTTGACATCCTTATCCTTCCACAAATTATAAGTTTGAGGGAGACTAAGGCAGTTCCTGCCTGGGGGTTACTGTATGTTAAAGGGTTAGTTCACCCAAAAACGAAAATTAGTCTGTGCTTTACTCACCCCAGAGCCATCCTAGGTGTATATGACTTTCTTCTTTCAGACGAATCCAGTCGG